AACTAATTGCTCATTCACATTAGTTTAATTTCAAATCAACCAATCTCGCACATCGCATTTATTTTATTTATTTCTTTTTAATCGCTGAATTTAGTTAATCTTTAATTCCCTTTTGTCCGTCCCTATGGAGACGATACTCGTACTTTCAACCACTTTACTACATCATTTTTAAGTGCGAGAAAACTCACATCATGCTTCTGTTCACATGACCTCCTCCGAAGGTATTTTGGCTAATAAATCCCCTTATTCATGCCCTATGACTGTTAGTGTAGCAAATGGTGTTAATTTACCCATAGCTAACATTGGAAATATTACATATAATACTCTCAGTCGTCCACTTTCATTAAAATCTGTTTATCATGTGCCTCAAATTAAATTAAATTTAATTTCTATACAAAAATTGTGTGCTGATAAAAACTGTATTGCTATTTTTGATTAAAAAATATTTTGTAAAGGACAAAATTTCGGGGGCGGTTCTACTTCGGGCACATCATAATGGACATCTCTACCCTATCAGTCTCAGCCACTCAACACCTCTTGCATTAGCTTCTCATGTTATTTCTGGCCCTGTGTGGCATCGTAGATTAGGACATTGTGGTGAAAACATTTTGCGCATGTTGCTTGTGTACTAAAAAATTTATTTCTAGTTCTTCTAATTTTGATCATGACTGTGTTTCTTGTCGATTAGGCAAATCTCAACGACTACCTTTTTCCGATGCTAGTCATAATTCTTCATCTCCTTTACAATTAATTCATTCTCATGTATGGCAGTCTCCCGTTCTGTCTAATTTAGGTTTTAAATACTATGTCTTCTTTGTGGATGATTTTTCTCGTTTTACTTGGCTCTATCCGATGCGGACAAAAGATGAAGTTTTTAGACATTTTCGTGCATTTAAGGCACTTGTGGAAAATTTGTTTAACTCTAAAATTAATGTTTTTCAAAGTGATGGAGGGGGTGAGTTTGTTAACTTTCACATGCACCAATTTTTTACTGAACATGGAATTTATTTTCAAAAATCTTTTCCCTATACTCCCCAACAAAATGGAGCTGTTGAACGCAAACACAGGCATGTACTTGAACTGACTAGGACTATGCTTATTACTGCCTCTATTCCTAGTTCATTTTGGGTTGGTGCAATTTTTACAACTGTGTACATTGTGAACAGACTTCCCTCTCCCACTATCTCTGGTCTCTCTCCTCAGTAGCGGACTTAGCATTCTCATTTTGAGAGTTCAAAAGCTTTTACAATTAAAACTTTAGTGAACACTAAATAATGATATTAAATTTATTGGTGTATATTCTTACATTTTTTAAAACTTTGAGTGTTCAAGGGAACACTTTGGATCTATGTTAGGTCCGCCCATGTCTCTCCTTACGAAAAACTTTTTCAAAAATCACCTGACTATAGTTTATTACATGTTTTTGGGTGTGCCTGTTATCCTAATTTTTCAGCCACTTCATTTAATAAATTGTCTCCTCGTTCTGTTCACTGTGTTTTTATTGGCTATGCATCTGGTTTTAAAGGTTATCGTTGTCTTGAGCCAAAATCTGGTAAAGTTTTCATTAGTTGGCATGTGCGGTTTCATGAAAACATTTTTCCATTCACCACATTGACCTCTTCTACGAATACTCACACATCCTCTTTTACACCGGCTGATTTTTTTCTCACCCACACCACAAAACCATCAGCCCAACCCCGTCCTACCCTCACCGAGCCAGGTCTTCATCCCTCTCTGTTTCGTTCTCCAGAAAACCAGCACCAGGTGTTAACACCTGCGAACAACCGACCACAATCACCAAACTACAGTGCCCAGCCCTCACCTTCCACACTACATTCCTCTCCCACCCAACCGACCACACCACACACTGAATACCAGCCCTCACCGCCACCTTCTCCACCACCAATCCAAACCTCGCCACCGTCCCATTCTGTCCCAACCGAAACCCCTACGGCCAGCCCGCTAGCTACCCAAAGCACGACCAGTCCTCTTTCTTCACCTCCAGCTACCTTTCACAATATTCACCCCATGCAGACGTGGGCTAAGTCCAGAATTTTTAAACCCAAAACCATTTTTAACTTAAATACAGTTGTTTTATCAGGAGATCCCACATGTTTTTCATAGGCAAATAAACTGAAGTGGTGTGAGGCGATTTTAGAGGAATTTAATGCTCTTATTTCTAATAATACTTGGGAATTAGTCCCATTTGACGAAACTAAAAATGTTGTGGGCTCTAAGTGGATTTACAAGACTAAGTACAATTCGGATGGGTCTATTGAGCGTCATAAAGCTCGTTTAGTTGCTCAGGGGTTTAACCAGCAGGCTGGTGTAGATTTCTCAGAGACCTTCAGTCCTGTTATTAAACCCACCATTGTTCGTGTCGTTCTTACGTTAGCTATTTCTTTTGGGTGGGTTATTCGTCAGCTACATGTTAACAATGCTTTCTTGCATGGTCACCTCACTGAGGAAGTATATATGCGTCAACCACGTGGCTTTACTCATCCCTTGTTTCCTAATCATTTATGTCGTCTGCGAAAAGCCATTTATGGCCTTAAGCAGGCCCCGCGGGCATGGTTTCACAGGTTCAACAGTTTCTTATTGTCTCATCACTTTACCTGTAGCAACTCCGATAATTCATTGTTTATATACCGTCAGAAATGTTGTGTCATTTATTTATTACTATATGTAGATGACATCATTGTTACTGGTAACTGGCCTTCTCTTGTCTCGTCATTTATTCATCTGGTTGCTCATCATTTTGCTATGAAGGATCTCGGTGATCTTCACTACTTTCTTGGAGTCTAGGCTAAACGTTCTCCCAACGGTTTGTTTCTCTCACAACATAAATATGTGTCTGATCTTCTCTCTCGTTTTCATCTGCATACCGTTAAGCTAGTTCGTAGACCTCTTGCTAGTCGCACTTTTCTTTCTCTCACTGATGGTGAACTCACTAGTGGAAAAAGAGCTTTCTATGTCGGTTAAAATCGACTTTTTATGTCGGTTCTAGACCCGACGTAGATTCAGCCGACATAGAAAGTGGGGCACCTTTTATAAGGGGTGGAGGAACCGTTATTAAAGATTTTTTATATCGGTTACTGTCAGACCCCTTATAGAATGTAATACAAATAAGAGATAATTACCTATATAGGACTAAAAAATAAGAATTATGCACAAATAGGACTTAAGTTTCCCGTGAAGTTTAGTAGGAGTAAAAAGGGGTGACCTGACATGAATGCCCTTAATGAAATCTCAAGCATAATTGTTAATTAATCATTTAAATCAAAATATAAAAAAGAAACAGTACAACAGATAATCAACGACACAACCCTAGGGCCAATGAACACCTTCTCTGCCGCCACCATGTCATCCGCCGCCGCCGCTTCAACCGCCGCCGCCAGTGGCTCTACCACCTGTCGCCGCCGCCGGTGGCTCTACCACCTGTCGCCGCCGCCGGTGGCTCTACCACCTGTCGCCGCCGCCCATTTCAGATGTCGTCACCACCAAGCGCTGCCGCCACAACGCGCCTTCATCACCACAAGGCTCCTCCGTCACCATCTCCACAGCTGCCTTCAAACTCTACCACCACCTTGGTCCCTGCTGTGATTTGAAATTTGGAAGGAGTGTCCTAAATGTCTATTTTAATTTAATGGAACTTTTACATTATAATAAAGTATATGAATTTTATTTCCATCTTCATATTTTCATGGCATTATAAATGTTGTAATTGTAATGGGAATGGTATTGCCATCATAACAGATTTAATGCCATATGAATGGAACTATGTGTGAAAATAATATATTTTATATAAGAAAAAACATGGCATTAGTAGCCATATTGATGGAATTAATGTTATAAAAATGGAATTAAATGTCAAAAATAATATTGTGAAAATAATATATTTTATATAAGCAAAAACATGGAATTAGTAGCCATATTGATGGAATTAATGTTATAAAAATGGCATTAAATGTCAACAATAATATTGTTAAGAGAAAAATAGAAATATATGGCATTAATAGTATTGTTTTTCCAAAGAAGTAATATGTTCATTTTAATGCCATAAATACTAGCAGTTATGGAAACTTAAATCTAAATCAAAAAAATAATTTGAAGGGTTACAAAAATTTAATTGACATGATCGAATAAAAAAATATTATCTTATTATAAAATGTAAATAAAAAGTTAAAAGAACAAAAGCTGAAAGAAAAAATCAAAGAAAAAAAGTAGAAAACGCAAGAGAAAAATCTTGATAAGTTCAATTCGGATCCGAAAGGGGAAAAAAATAAACCAAAAATCAATCTAAAAGTTTGTCATAATTATGCCATAATTGTATAGAACCTTCACATTGTAAAAAAAAGGAAATAGAGGCTCTGCCTCAGATTGAAGGAAACGAAGGGATAGGGGAAGAAAAGAAGAAGAAATAGAAAAAGAATGAGGAGGAGAAGAAGAAGAAGAAGAAGGAAAAAGAGAGATCAAAATTTAATTACCTCTATCGTCGTCGTCGTCCGCCGATGGCCGGAGTTGAGGAGAAAAAATCCTAGTCCAACCCTTTATTATGTGTTGGAGATGGAGAAAACGAATAGATCTGGAGACGGATGAGTGATGGAGGAGAAAAGCTAGAGAAGAGATCTGGAGATGGATGAGTGATGGAGGAGAAAAGCTAGAGAAGAGATCTTGAAATGGATGAGTGATGGAGGAAAAAAGGCAAAGGAGAGAAAGGAAACGTGAGAGGAAATAGGAAGAGGCGTGCGATTGAAATACGTACAGACTGAAAGGTAGTCTGACAAAAGCAAATAATTGAAGTTGAAGCTAGCTGTAAAGTGGGGGTATTATGGGAATTAGGTACGGCCGGTCAATTAAAAACTCCTATTTTAGGGATAAATCAACAAGGAGTCCTATTTTGAAACTTTTTTATTGTTTTGGTCCTATTTAGATCAATTACTATACAAATAATCTTCAATTTCAATGTGGGTCAAAACGTAACCGTTATTGAATATGGACTTTCTTACAATGAAACATTAGAAGATGCATTATGCAAAATGATTTTCTTTAATAAGGCAGGGCTCAAAATACAATCAGCCGATGCACACTAATAATTAATCAGCTAAGACGCATGCAAGTCCTTATCATGGGTTCACAATCTTTTCTGCATAGGCGTTGACCAAAGCAAGCGCATTGCTTGTGAACATCTTAAGAGTTTTAACCTGACCTTGCAATTTAGCATAGGCGCGGGTCCCATCCAGACAATTATCCTGATCCGTCTCGGCGGCGCTCATCCACGTCTGTACGTTGTTCACCATCATCGCCGCCGAGCCGCCGACTAGCTCTTTCATCTGCTTGACCGACCTCTGTATCTCGTACAGGGAATCCTTAAGATGGCCGGAGCATTCTTTGAGGATCTCGGAATTGTGTTGGAGAGAGTTGTTTCCGACATAAGCGGCGACGGAGTTGGCTTTCTTCAGGCTGATGATAATGGCCACCCTAGCCAGCATGGTGGTGTTTTTATTCACGACCCTAGCGTAGGGGGAGAGCGACTTTTGGCATAACTTCTGGTAGAGTACTGTGGAGGCATTGCAGCCGGTGAGGATGAAGTCGGTCTCCGCTGCGGTGGCGGTGTGGTTGACGGCGGCGGCGGAGGATGGCCTTGAGTTAAAGGCAAGAGTGATGAGGAAGATAGAGGAAAATGAAAGAGTGGTTTTCATGGTTTGGGGTCTAGTATAGCTTTGGGGTTTCAACTTAAGCTTGTGTCAAGTGAGAGAGAATGGTGCCCAAGTGGAGGTTTAAATACATGCAAGAAGTCAAATTTGAAATGAGGACGGAAATTAAATTTACTTAGGGAAAACTGTCAAATAAGCATTCGAACTTTCATAAAAAGATCAAATAAGTCCTTATATATGAGGCTATGTCCGACTGTAGCGATTTGGGGCGGTTCCCGGTGGAATTTTTTGATGAAATTTTTTTATCATCTTATTCATCAAGTCTAGTTTACTCATACCAAATTTAAGCTAAAACTTCAATCAGGAACACATTCAAATTAATTCTTGAAGATAACTGTGCAGTTAAATGCGCAGTTATCTTCAAGAATTAATTTGAATGCGTTCCCGATTGAAGTTTCAGCTAAAAATTAGTATGAGTAAACTAGACTTGATGAATACGATGCTCAAAAACTTTTATCAAAAAATTCCACCGGGAACCGCCCCAAATCGCGACGGCCGGACAGAGCCTCCTATATAAGGACTTATTTGACCTTTTTATGAAAGTTCGATGACTTATTTGAATTGACTGTTTTCCCAATTACTTACTACGTATATAATACTACCTATCTTCTTAAATAAGTGAAATTTTAAACTACTTATATGTTCTTCTTTGACTACATTTTATTTTTTAATGCATTAATATTTTAAAAAAAAATTGTTGTTAAATTTGTCTTATTGTAAATTTTCAAAATTTGATTTTTAATGTTTTTTATAAATAGAGAATTAAATATATAAATATATATTAATGGTCAAAGTTGTACATTTACAAATGTGAAAAGTTGACCATTGCACTTATTTAAGAAAGTAGGAAGTGTTTATATATAAAATAAAATAACACATATGTGTGAGTAAAAAGGAATAATGTTTCATTACATTTGGGTATGAAAATTTACAAATCCGGTTTTCCTTTTGGTAAAAATAAGAATATTTCGGTTTGAAACAGAATTAATCGGTTTGGTTGGATCTGCTTTCAAGTAGTTGAGTTCAAAATAATAGTTATAAATATAGTTATTACTTATTCTAAGTAACAATAACATCAATTTTTCCATTCCTAATGAATAGTTACAATTACATTAAAACTAAAAGCTTTAAACAATGAGTTTTTTTTCCTAAAACATTACTAATTACTAATATAATAAAAAATCTATCAAAAAATGTGACTATAAGTTACTATGTATAAGTATTATAGTAACTGTAATGTAATATTTGAATACAATTATAGTCACTAAATTTAGGGAATGTTCCCAAAATAGGACTAAAACAATTTGAAAATTCCAAAATAGGATTGTCATGTTTTTTATTCCCAAAATAGGAGTAATTATTGTCAAGTTTGAAAAATATTGTCATGTTTGAAGTCTGGTACTGCCAAAACATGGCAGTAATTAGTCCTGTTTTGGGAATAAAAACATAGCAGTCCTATTTTGGAATTTTTTAATCTTTTTAGTCCTATTTCGTGTAATATTCTCCTAAATTTATCATGATAACATTTTTATTCATTACATTTATTTTGATTATATATTTGAAATTATTTCATAAATAATACTCCCTCCGTCCCGCTATTAACTTCCTGCTTTCCTTTTTGGAACGTCCCAAAATTATCTTCTCATTTCCCTAAATGGAAAGTTTTCCTACATCAAAACAGTGTCAAACAGTGCAAAACAGTGTCAAACAGTGCCAAACAGTGTTTAAATAGTGTCTAAACAGTAAGGTCAAATTTAATTCCTAAAAATGTGTGAGGGTCAAAGTAAGTACTTAAAAACGGGACGGAGGGAGTACGGAGTAGCATATTGTTGACTGTTAAGAATTTCAGGGATGTACAGAGAGGAAGTAAAACACTAGAGAAGATGAGGAGGAGGCCTTTTTGTATTCTTATTTTTTTAAGTCCAGCAATAAACTGATTACAACTGGGGCCTTTTATAGGCTCCTACAAAAAAACTCTTCATATGACTAAGATCAATAATCATCCACCCTTTGGATTTCCTAATTATTAAGTATTAATTATTTGAACTTATTCCTACAAATTCCTCCCTTAAGTTCAAATATTTTTCCTGCTCTTCATGCCAATCAGCTCCTTGCAATTCTCAAATAGGACCGTCGGCAAAGCCTTTGTGAATATATCCGCTGCTTGATCTCGACTGGCAACATGCATAAGCTCAATTTCCTTCTTCTTCACTTGTTCTCGTATGAAGTGATAACGGACATCTATATGTTTTCTTCTTTCGTGGTGTACAGGGTTTTTGGCTAGCTCGATGGCAGACCTGTTATCAACAAAAATTCTTGTTGGTTCTGTTTGTTTTAACTCCAGCTCGGCGAGTATTCTCCTCAGCCAAATAGCATGTCGTGAGCTGTACGAGACTGCTACATACATATTCTGCCTCACAACTTGATAATGTAACAATAGGTTGTTTCTTTGAGAGCCATGTGAACGCAGTTTTCCCCATGTAAAATACATATCCAGTCGTGCTTTTTCTGTCGTCTATGTCTCCACACCAGTCACTGTCTGAATAGCCTTTCAACCTGTATTCATCACTTCTCGTGTAATAGAGACCAAGTTGTTTTGTGCCTTGAACATACGTGAGAATTCTTTTCATCGCCTTCCAGTGTGAATAACAGGGATCCTCCATGAACTTGCTCACCACCCCAACACTATAGGCTAAATCTGGTCTTGTGCAAGTGAGATATCTCAGACATCCAACCAAACTTCTGTACATACCAGCATCAATTCGATCTCCTCCCTCAAATTTTGAAAGCTTTAACCCGGGCTCCATTGGAGTTCCAACCGGGTTACAAGTTTCCATCTTGAATTTCTTTAAGATTTCCTTTGCATAGGCTTCCTGTGAAATGAAAATTCCATCCTTACTTTGCTTTACCTCAAGGCCAAGAAAATAACTAATCAGCCCTAGGTCAGTCATCTCAAACTCTTTGGTCATTGTCTTCTTGAAGTTTTCAATCATCTTTATGTCATTCCCCATGAATATTAGATCATCCACATAAAGTGCCACAAACAGGACCTTGTTCCTCTCCTTCCTTAGATAGAGTGCATGTTCATATGGACATTGTTCGAACCCATTCATTTTGAAATAAGAATCAATCCGAGTATTCCATGCCCTTGGGGCTTGCTTGAGTCCGTATAATGCTTTCTTTAGCTTCAGAACTTTCTTCTCTTGTCCGACGACCTTATACCCCGGTGGCTGCTCAATGTAAACTTCCTCCTCAAGTACACCATTGAGGAAGGCGGACTTCACATCCATCTGATGGATTTGCCAATTGTATTGGGCTGCAAGAGAGATCAATAATCTTATAGTGTCCATCCGAGCGACTGGTGCAAACACTTCATCATAGTCGACCCCGGCCCTTTGCTTATATCCTTTTGCAACAAGCCGAGCTTTGTGTCGCTCGACTTTTCCTTCAGCATTCATTTTCCTTTTAAACACCCACTTCACTCCAATTGCTCTATGGCCCTTTGGCAAGTCAGCCCACTCCCAAGTATTATTCCGTTCTATGGAATTTATCTCGTCATCCATCGCCTTCTGCCATTTCTCATCATGGACAGCTTCATTATATGAGATTTGCTCAGCATCAGCTAGCAAGCATACCATATGAGCTTCAGGAAATGTCTCATACAGTTCTTGTATACTCCGGTACTTTTGAGGTCGGTTGGGACTATCATCCTCCTCTTCTTCAACAGTTTCTGTGGTTGGCTCTATCTCTGGGATAATCGGTATTGGAACTAATCCCTCAGATTTTTCTTCTTCTAGTTCCAGCTCAGCCTGTGTCTCCCAGTTCCATGCGCTCTCCTCATTCACTTGGACATCTCGGCTAACCACCACTTTTCCTCCAACTGGATCAAATAACCTATAGCCCTTTGTCTTTTCATCATATCCAATCAGAATTAATTTCCTGCTTTTGTCATCCAACTTAGTTCTCCTTTGATCAGGTACGTGTGCATAAGCCACACTGCCGAAAATTTTAAAATGTGCGATAGTGGGCTTATGACCGCTCCAAACTTCTTGAGGGGTTTTATTCTCCAATTTTGCATGAGGGCATCTGTTTTGTACATAAACAGCACATCGCACAGCCTCTGCCCAAAATTCCTTAGGCATGCTTTTGCTCCTTAACATTGATCGGACCATATCCAGGATGCTCCTGTTCTTTCGCTCAGCCACCCCATTATGTTGGGGCGAATAGGGAGCAGTTAGAAACCTTCGGATTCCCTCTTCCTTGCAATAGTCTCTGAACAAGGTGGACATATATTCACCTCCTCGGTCTGACCTCAATGCTTGAATCTTCTCTCCAGTAGTTCTTTCCACTTCATTCTTGAAATCTATGAAAGTTTTGAGTGCTTCTGATTTCTCTTTCAAGAAGTATACCCAAGTTTTCCTTGTAAAATCATCAATAAAAGTGATATAATATCGTCTCCCACTGTGAGATGAGGGCGTGATTGGTCCACATATGTCAGTATGGATCATTTCTAAGTGCTTCTTTGCATGATACTCAGCACTTTTCGGAAATGGTTTCCTCGCGTGCTTCCGAAGTACACATCCTTCACAGAAGCTCTTCTTGAAATCCATCTCAGGTAGCCCATGGACCATGTCTTTTTTCACTAATTCTCTAAGACTTCCATAGTTCAGGTGCCCGAATCTCATATGCCAGAGTGCTGACTTATCTGTTAGATCAACTTTCAAACACTGGTGCTTCAGACTCCTCAGATCAAGCTTGAACATCCTATTCTTTGTCATTTCAACTCGAGCAATAGATCGACCGTTCTTGTCTTTTAGGTCCATAAACTTGCCTTTCATTCCCACAGTGTATCCTTTCTCCAACAATTGACCCATGCTTATTATGTTACTCTTCATGTTAGGAACATAATAAACATCATCAATGGTTCCCGCTTGTCCATTGCTTTGTGTGAAACAAACCTTCCCACGGCCCTTTACTTGTACTGTTGAAGCGTCTCCAAATGAAACTTCTCCTTCAAGTTCTTTC